GTCAAACCAGAAAACATAACTAGGAACTCATAGGGCCCATAACGTGTTCTAAACGCCGTCTTGGGGACATCCTCAAGCCTAATTTTCAAATGATGCTAGTAAGACCTTAGAACAATTTTAGAGAAACTGATGCACCTTGCAATTGGTCAAAATGATCATCTATTCGAGGCAAAGGGTACTTGTTTCGAATAGTGACCCTATTCAATTGCCGGTAATCTATACACATTCTCATACTACCATCCATTTTCTTAACAAACAAAATGGAGCACCCCACGGGGAAGCACTAGGACGAATAAATCCCTTATCATGAAGCTCTTGGATTTGAGCCTTAAGGTCTCTTACTTATGTCGGAGCCATGCGATATGGAAGGGTAGAAATGGGACGAGTACCAGGTTCTAAATCAATGCAGAAATTTATATCTCTATCCGGAGGCATACCAGGCAAATCATTAGGAAACACTTCTCTAAATTCTGACACCACATGAATAGACTCAATAGATAGAGACTCAACCTTAACATCCCAAATATGAGAAAAATAAGCCAAATAACCCTGCTCTACTAGTTTACTAACCTGAATGGATGATATGATCTTAGCTTGCTTAGGCTTGTACACCCCTTCCCGCTCTAACTTTTCCCTTCCCAGAATTTCTAGAGTGACAGACTTAGTATTACAATTAAGCACATCATAATAGAGGGACAACCAAGTCAAGCCTAAGATTATATCAAAATCACCAAATCAGCCCAAGTCTGAAAACCTATAAACAAAATAGGACCAGCACGATAGACGTGGGTGACTATGACAGACTTTCCAACAGGGGTAGAAACATGGATGGGGGCATCAAGTACATCACAAATCATAGAAAATTCTGAGGCAAATTGCACGGATACATAATAATAAGTAGAAACCGGATCAAATAACACACTATCCGGTCATAGACAAAAATAGTACATGTGATCACTGCGTCAGACGCCTCTGCCTCATTCTTGCCCAGAAAGGCATAATACTGAGCCCTATCATTTTGACGGGCGACTTCACTGCCTGGCTGCGATGTACCTCTACCTGCATTACCATTTCCTCTACCCCCACGACCTCGCTGTTTACCTCATCGCCCACCTTGTGGATGCCCTCAACCATTATTACCATTTCCCGCGGTTACCACTACTCTAGTTTGCTGTTGCGCGGACTCCATCATACGTGGGTGGCGACAATCTCTCCTCATATGCATATGTTCTCCACACTCGTAACATGTACGATCAAAAGATAGCCTACTTCCCGCCGAAGGTGCGGCTCCCTAGCTATCCTGAATAATATTATGAGTTGGAGTTCTCGAGTAATTTACCTGTAGAAGTGGTCAGAACGGACTGAATTTTCCTGGTTGAAATTATTGGCCTCTCTAACCATTTGGAATAAGAACCTTCAAAGTTACCTGAGTTCTTGGCCCTTTTAGCCAATGTGTTAGCCTAACCATCTCTCTTTAGCCCCTCCATTTTCTTAAGCAAGTCAGTTACCTCATGAAAGCTCCTCCCTGCAGAGGTAATATGAACAGATAATACCCGCAACTCAGAATTTAGTCCCCTAATAAATAAACGGATCCTCTTGTACTCAGTAGTCACCAATTGGGTAGCATATCTAGACAAGGCATGGAACTTAGCCTCATAAGCAGCCACAGACATACTACCTTGCTCCAAAGCCATGAACTCATCCTTCTTGCGATCTCTCAAAGTCCTAGACACATATTTCTCTAAAAACAGAGCATGATACTGGGTCCAAGAGAGTGGGGATAAGGTTGAAGATCTGCACTCCACATAAGCTCTCCACCACTTCATTGCCTCACCTTGAAGTTGAAAAGTCACAAACTAAACCCCATGCTGATGGACAATTTCCAACTTATGAAACCTCGCATAGCAGTCTAAAATAAACTCATAAGAATCCTCACTTTCAGAAACAAAAAATACATGAGGCTTTATCTTTTAAAACCTAGTAAAAATTTCCTGCTCATTACTAGTCATAACAGAACAAAACAAATGATGGAAGAAAGCATCAGTACCTCCAGTTCCACCCACCTTGGGCGTAGTGATAGCAACATGAAGATTGGTAGGAGCTTGAGTTGTTTGAACAGAGGAAAGAACTCCAGGACCAACCAACCCTTTCAAGAATGACATGATCTGCTGAGCTAACACTGGGTCCAAAGGAGGAATACTTGTAGTCTGAGCCTATACCTCTTCCACTTTCCCAACATTCTCCTTATCTTCAACCTGAATGTTCTGCTCTATCGCATCATGGTGTGCATGAGGGGCCTCATTTCAGGGAGCATCTCCGACTGGTGCTCCATCCCTGGTAGGCACTGCCCTTTCTCGGCCTCTACCCCTAGCTCTTCTTCTACCCCTGCCTCGACTATGACCTCTCGCTACAGATTCCTCAACTGGAGCATTAACGGGAGCTATGTGCTTAATGCCATTGAATCTAGTATTAACCATCTGTGGACAGAAGAGTGAAGGTGGTTGGCTACCAATTGGAATCAAGTTATAGCAAGAAAGGGGCAAGATAAAGCAGATAGATTTCCTAAAGTCTATAGCCTCTCGAGGAAAAGTACATACTTCTTTGTACCGTTTCGCAAGACTCTACTAGACTCGATTTGGTACATCGAGATCAAGGAACCTAGGCTTTGATACCAACTTTGTCATGATCCAGACCATCGTGATTGGCACCCAAACTAACCCTCCGGTGAGAGAACCATTTATACTAATTATCTAACCAACTCAATTAAATACTAAAGCATTTAAGTTATGGAAGCATGTTAACTACTAAGGAAATAAATAGAGAGTTCCCATAAACTCCAAACAAAAGTCTAACAACTAAAACAAATGCGAAAGTAACACCTAGAACTTGAAAGTCAATATACCAAAACTCTAACAAGACCCATAATTCTAAACAAGAAGGGTTACAACCCCAACTTATGCACTAATAACTAACTAGAAAGTCTAAGTCCGAAATGTGGACATAAACAGAAAGAGAACTCATGGCAGCACGAAAGAACTGGCTCACCCTTGAATTCGAAGCGGTCACTGATCTTCTAAGCGAGGTCTGTCAATAGCCGCCTCAAGATGCCCTGTATACAACAAAGAAAGAGGAAGTTCAGTATCAGTACACAACCACAATATAATGGTAGGATCACACGACTATTCCACTAAGTGCAACATACATAAGTCAATACAACATAATAATAACATGCATACACCAAATATATAAAATATCATCAACATTTACAAAAAATGAACAGTTTCACAATTCTCAAATATCACAGTTATATCAAGTCATTGGTCCTCTCATGGAACCCAAACCCAAATTGTTAGCATACGGGAATGTGGTACCCGATCCAATGATTATGCTAGACGCGACAATCGATCCAAGTTAGTGTGTCGGAATGCAACACCCGATCCATTCAACAAGCCACAATCACAAGTATATTCTCATAATCATACAATCAATTCATGATTTCATGGCAATAATTATTCAATCATCCTCATTTACGAATAATGTGATCAATAATGCAACATTTGCATACATACATGTATCATAATGAACCAAGAACAAACATATATCACACAACATGAAATCATAACCATCACCTACCTCAATCAAAGCTTGAATCCCCTAAGAAACTTGATTCTTCCCTTTCCGGATTCTTTCTGCTTGTTCTTGGTCTACAAATAATCAAAATAACACGGAAATCAATAAACAATCACTAATTACTCAGATTACTAACAATCCAATCAACCCTAGATCAAACCCATGATCCCAATATCCAAATTAGGGCTTTTTTCACCATAATTTTCGTATCAAAACTCTTCCCCATCAATAATTACCCATTAGATTATGTTTTATTGATCGAAAAATGGATTTGTGGAGTGAAATTCTTATCTTTAGCCTCAAGAATGGTGGAAAACTGTCAAGAAAATCCCTGGGTCCATTCCTTAGCTCGCAAGTTTGAAAATTGTAGAACAAAGATGTTTTGGGGTATATTTCTGACTTTAATTCACGTCTGCCCCGCCACAACGGTACCACCCCATTGCAGCGGCCCCGCCCTGGGGACACAAATACCCGTTGTAGCAGCTTGCACAGAACAATGAGCTATTTTAATAATTCTAATACCCCCATTTCATAATACACCTTCAACCAACGATACTCAGAAACTACTCGTTCATGCCAAGGTTAGTTTTGGGAGTTCTACTAACTCGAATTCAATTCCGTAAAGTCTTATGGGTTCCTTAACGTCTTAGCTACCTACCTATGTTATCAAAATTATAATTAAATCGCCCAATTGCTATCAGATTTCCCTAGACCTCACAGATTCTGATTTCGTTCAAATCTGGACTAGGTTGAAAAATCCCAAGTTACTACAAAAAAGTTTTCCGACCCAAAAGTTTTTCCTCGTTGGCTTTTCTATAACGACAAGAACAGATCGTTACACCTACAGATCGTAGCTCGGGATCTGTGGGTCAGTTGCACATAAATTTTGTACAATTGTCGAATCACGGTGTGGACTACAGTCTGACGTTCTATCAACATACCATTCTGCACATCCGTGGTTCCCACATTAGAGACCTAATTTTGGGTGCTCTGACCTACAGAGGGGACACACGGGCCGTCGTTCCATCTATGGACCATAGGTGCCCACCGTGGGTCGACAGTTCATCGACTGTCCAATTTTTTTTTGAGTTTTAGTTTGGGTCCAATCCTTGTTCTAAAATTTTTCCATGAGTGTTTTTGTATTGTTTTGGTACTAACTAAGACTCCATAGGTACAATGGCCCCTAAACAAGCTCTATCCTAAGCCGCTAAGGGAAAATCCAAATTCATCGCTCCTTCGGGACGTATGATCGTTGAGAAGGACATTGAGGACACAGAGTATATTTCTCCAAACACCAGGACCCCCACTACTCCCTGCACTACTCAGAATCGAGCCCAGAAGATTAGCTCCGACGTGGTCACTGCCTCCAGTTTGAGGAGAGGGCCACACCTATCAGATCACCGGCTGGCTCAGAGTCGCAGTCCGGCTCTAGTTCTACCGGCAGTACTGCCTCTTCAGCAGACTCAGACAGCTATAGCGATAGCCCGATACCTACTAGCATTGAGCCTGCTTCCAAGGCTTATGAGCCTAAAATATGGTGTGTCTCGGGCCAGTATCAGCTTTAGATCAATGGTAAAATGTTTAATGAGCACGAGAGGATGACCAAGACTGTGACTGAGAAGTGCAAGGTCCTTACAGGCAGCCTCCACATTACACCTGCTATTTAGGAGATCTTCCAACGACACTGATGCGAGTGGATGGCACGGAACCCCAGGAAGTACAACGATGAGATTACTAGGGAGTTCTATGATTCGTATGCTGCTACCATCAGAAACTCTATCTCTAAATGGGCTAAGTCCATCGCTCAGGCTCCACTTCAGTTTATATTAGTGTGGGATTACCCAAACGACATATAAGAGGTCACAATCCGTAGGGTTCTATATGAGTCGTCCAATACTCTGCCCATCAATATGCAGAGTATGACTACCAGATGAGAATTATCTAGAGCGGGTCCTTCCAGAGAAATGTTAAGCAAAAGGAGGCTCTTCTAAGGTAGCTGGCATGAGACATTGTTGCGGATGGGGAATGTTTTTTAGTGGGTTTGGACTCTTAGCTTGGTTATCAAGAATAATATACTAAGCTTCGTTGTGAAGTTCTTTGGGTTGCTGGTCTGAAATAGATTATCCCCGGCTCTAATAGCCAACATGATTACATGGGACTGGGCAATGGTGTTGGCAGCCATTATGGCGGGGTTGGAGATTGATGTCACCCACATCCTTATTTCGGAGATCCATGAGAGGGCCTTCAAGGCCACCACCACCTTGACCTTTCCATGCCTTATTTTCCAGCTCTGCACGGAGGTTTCTATTTCTGTTTGGCACTGTGACCGGTTGCTTGATGTGACCAAGACTCTAGATATTGGCATCATTCGGGATGATCCCAACCTCGTTGCATCGCAGAGAGAGCCACAGGTTGAGGTGCCACATCTAGGTGATGATTTTGTTGTCGATGTTGAGTAGATGCAGGCCGATGACTCCACCATTCCAGTCTCTAAAGAAGATGCTTAGGCTCCAGCGTCTCTGACCACCATTCGGGCCCCTAGCTTATCCCGAGCCACTCCCTGTTCAGGGTCCACCTCCATCCCTAGCCCTAGCACGGAAGCTGGAGGCGCAGATGGCCAGTCTACTTCAACATGTAAAGCCATGGATGCAGTGCTCTATCAAAAAGTCTGAGGTAAGGATGGTGTAGATGATGGATCAGAAGGTTCAGGCCGTTCATAAGTGCTTGGATGCTTTTTACCTGAGAGTCTTGGAGAGGCCGCCAACCCCGACCATTGGTGTGACCAATTTACAGTAGGAGTTGGCTATCCTCCGTGCTGATGATTCTGCACTCCTAGCCCCCCAGAGACTGAGCCAGAGGCTTCCTATACGAGTCATGTTGATTAGGTGGTTTTGACTGCCCTATTCGGTGATGCTATGCCGCTACCAGATTCTTCTTGTGCCACTGGAAAGCGCCACTTCTCCGATCATACTTCTGATGATGCTGAGACGTAGAGATTGAGGAAGAAGAAGCGCCAGCACTTGGAGGAGGCCACAAGGGTGTCGTATCTAGATAAGGAGAGGAAACAACAACAGTCCAGTGAGATAGGTGTAGGCCCATCTGGCAGTGTGAACACTACTGAGGGTGTTGGGATAGTTGATGTGAGCGATAGTGATGGCGTTCCTAGTGTTGATCCAGCGATCTCTGGGAAACCGAACCTACCTGCTTCTTGAGAGGTCTTTGGTGCATATACGCCACAGGTTTACTTCACCCTATGTTTTACTTTTGATTTTTGTGCATTGGGGACAGTTGCACCTTATTTTGTTGGTGGTGGGGTAAATGGATTGTGAGTGATAGGGTGAAGTCTGAGTAACCCAACTCATATTCCTCTCTTGGGGTTTTCTTGCGTGTGTTCTTTTCCCCCAAGAGACTGTTTTTAATTTCTGGTGAACCGACTTGTTTAGGATTGCATGTGTAGAAGTAACGACAAGAATGAAAAGAATGATGGCATAAATAACATGAAATTGATACCCGTCCAAAACTTTGAATTGTGCTAGATCTATAGTCTTGAGGAGTTGGATCTTAATATGACATGGTAAAGAACCGATTTGACCTCATGACTTAAGCTAAAACTTGAACTAGGTAATTTTATAATCTGATAATGAAACAATGTGCCAAGTGTGAGTGAGAAAAGTTTGAATGTTCAGACAATATTGTGCAAATCTAGAAATTGCCCCGTTAGTCCTGCTAAGATAATCTAGGCTAGAATTTGGGAAATGATCATAGGCCCTTGTTCTAATAAAGTCCACAAAAGCCTAAAATGATTCAACCATAAGCAATAATTGTTCCCATTGATCCAAATATTTGAGCCTAAAATAGACCATTTTTTTCAATGCACCTGACTCACCTTCCCTAAAATAATTTTCTTGGCACTGGTCCCTCCTTAGACATGTGCACCTTGACTTAGGCCATAAACCTAAGTTGAGGGTGGCTAATTCAAAAAGTTACCTTAATCTTGACCCTGGTCTGACATTGGATATTGTGCACCTCAACTCATGAAAAATACATAAGTTGATGGTGTCTATGAAATAGGAAAACAAAAGAAAAGTGGTATGAAAAGAGTTTTGTGTAGAAGAAAGAAAAAGAAAAGGAAAAGGTGTGACTTTGTTCAAAAGATGAATGGAAAAAGTGCTTAAAGTAATAAAGAAAAATGAAGTGAAAGAAAGAGAAGAAAAGTGAAAAAAAGAGCTAGAAAGTCAAAAGGTCACATATGTGTTGAAGAAAGGCAGGGGAAAGAAAAGAAAATAAAAAGATGTCAAAAATTGGTTGAGAAAACAGGTAAAAAGCCAATGCAATGTCAAGGAGGGCAGAAAGACACTAAAAAGTACCCAAATATATCCTACCTAACCCTGAGACTATGTTACAAGCTAAGAAAGTCCTATTGTGATCCTAGTGACTAGTTTGGAGAGTCTATGCAGTGAAAATAAGGGCAAGCCTATGGTATTGAGCACTAACTATACTTGAAGTCACTTCTGAGCGTGAGTGTTGAATGAATCCTAACACTCAAAATTCATATCTATTGTGGGAAAAAAGATTTCGTTCGAAGTGAGGGCACTAGTTACATTGTTGGAGAGTTGGGACCTTGGTGATTGTTAAAACTGTATGTTGTGGTGTCTATTGGTCAATCTATGTCATGTATTGATCCGGATGAGTTAACTTGCTGAGTCTAGTTGAAAAGGTTTACACTAAGTGAGGTGTGTAATTAAGATTACCATGTGATTGCTTGAGTTTCTATGTTTGCTTCTACACAAGTGTCGTTTAGAGTTTTAGTGTGTCGCTTGAGAACAACCAACAAGTTTAAGTTGAGGGTGTTGATATACCATGAATTTACGGTATTTTTGATACATTTCACTTAGAAGTTGTGTGTGTCTAGGGCTATATTGTGTTAGAAATAATGTTTTATGTGTTATGTTTGCAGGAAATAGTCTTGGACGCGGTTGATGGAGATAAGAGCTGAAATTATGTAGAAGGATCCACCCACGGAAGTGATCCACGAACCGTAGGTCCATTGACGAACTGTCGATGGGCAGGCATAGATGGAACATCAGGGAATTCTGATTAAGTGTGGAACTACGAAGCAATTGACGGCCCTTGGGCCGTCCTGCACATCCGTCGATGGATTCAAAGAGTTGAAGTTCCGGTACCTGATAAAAAATCGTAAGTGTGGAGCCATGGAAGGGGACCTACCGACCGTAGGTCAACCCATGGTCCATAGGTCGAGTCATCGAATAAAGCCGTGTTCCAGAAATTTATTTCCTTATTTTGTTTCCTTTTCATTAGGACTTGTTTTCTATAAATAGGAGTTATACACCTCGTTTTTGGAGGTTAGACATTATTGTAAACTCTTGGTTTTTTTGTTTTGGGAATTAACTTGCAAACTTTAGCAATTTGATTTCAGGATTTCGTTTTATAAGATTTTCATTTTGTAATTCATTTTAGGATCTTCGGGTTTCATCTATTCTAATAGTAAGTTAATGAATTCTTTCTTCTTAAACATGAATTGTGAACTCTCAAGAATGAGTAGCTAAATCCACTAGTGTTGTGGGAACCATGAGTAATTAACAAAGTATGAATAATAACTAAGTAATTCTTGAATAGTGCTAATGCATGATTTGTTAATTCTTTCGCTTAGAAGTCTTTTTAACAGTTGCAAACATTAGAACTCACCTCGTTTCTACTTGCCGGACCAAGGAGGTAGTTAATGAGAAAAGAATTAATAACAGAGATTTAGTGTATGCTATCTAATAGTCTAATGTTAATTGGTGCGAGGGTGAAAACTAAGACATACATTAATGTGATGTCTAATCTGAGGTAAAGGTAAGGGTTAGGAAATTATACACTCGTAGTCGGACCAAGGTGCATAGTGAAATTCCCTATTTGGAGGACCAATCACTTAAAGATACCTAATTTACAAACTTTGCATGAAAAACACTAGGGAAAGATTACTATTATTAGGATTAGTGCGTTAAGAGCTTATGGGGAACACATATGCCCTAGTGTCTCTCTCATATTGATAACTTAAAGTTTGAATCTTGCTCAATTGTTACTTAATCAACAATCTGTTACTTGATTACAAAACCCCCCTTTATTTACTTGTCTCGGAAATAGTTTGACTAAATGGATATAATAGTCAGTTAAGTTTAAGTCTAAACAATATTCCTCGTGGGATCGACCCCAACCTACAAGTTGAGTTCTTTATTTGACAACGATCCCTTATACTTCTTTAGGGAGGTGTAATTTGAGCGTATCAGATACTGAGTCCATTAGTTTGCCATTCTCTTGAGCCAAATAGTAATTCCCAGCGCCGTGACACTATTTCAATACGAAGATGGGTATTTTCTCTAGTCGATCCTCCTTTCGCTCCTTAGTGACTTGTTCTTACGCTTTTGGCGTCCATTTCACATCCCCTTCAGTACCTGCATTCTATGCCTCTTTCTCGTGTTTTTGAACCTACCAGCAACTAATCACATTGGTTGATTGAGATGCATAAACATGACTCGAATACTATTAACACAATGGGAATTTT